GAGTCAGATGGGTCAAAAAAAATCGGATTTGGGTCGGATTTGCCTGCAGTGTGAACATAACCATGGAGTAATTTTCAGCAAGAGACACATAATTTGGCTGCTCAAAATGATCTCCTTACAAGATAAAAGATCATTTCCAAGGTTCGTAATTTAGAAACGTCTCTTAGTTATCACTTTGTATTTTGTAATATTAATTTCAAATTTGTAGTAATTACTTTGAAACTCATTATTAATAACAATGTATTTTTTTGGAGTGGCACAAATGGCCTTCCATATAACGTTCGCACAGTTCCAGTCAGTTTCAGGTGTCCTGAACATTTACCAGCTGTGAGGTTAGGTCTTGATATGWGACCTGGTTAATAAGGTTTGTTAGAGGTCCTCCTCCTCCTCGGCTCTGCCTCGGGATGATAAGTTTCTGGTCTTTCCTGTCGGTCGACAAAGACCAACCGTGTGGGCGGCTGCAGGGAGAAGGCGCAGAGAGGGAACACCGGCTTGGATTTATGGGATGAGTTTCTTTAGACAAGCCTCATGACGCAACACGTCAAACTGTCAGAGACACGAGGAGACATGCAGGGATTCCCGCGTTTCCTGTGACCAGGCGGACTGAGCAGCTGACAGACACGAACCCGTCCAGAGCTCCAGAAGATGACCAGCCTCCTGCTGCTTTTTCTGCTGGCTGCTTTCTGTGGAGGATCGGTACGTTTTTTTCTATTTGTTTCCTCAGGAAATGAAACARAAGAACAAGTAAAAACAAGTTGTTTCCTTTAAAATTTCAGTTCACATTAAAAGAAGCAGAGATCTCCACAAAGATTAAAGGTAGACTTTTGTTTCATTCCTATTTATTAATGAGTGGAACCTTATAAATGTAGTTTTGTCATTTAAGGGAAAAGTGAAATGAGTTTTTGTCAGTGAAGTACTGATTTTGTGTATTTCTCAAATTTCAGCTCATMAGTCATTACCTAACTGCTCTGTTTCCCAGCTCTTACCACAGCTGCTAAAGAATGTAAGTTCCCATTTCGTCAGGGAGGAAGGCTCCATCATCACTGCATCACTGTCCTAACCTCAAAGCCCTGGTGAGTAAATAAGTCTGCTCCTTCAGATACACTAGCACTCATCATGTCAGATTGTAATCTCTCAGTTGTGAATAATTTAACAGCCCAACTTTAATCAAGAGTTTTATGGTCTTTTTCCATGAGCTCAACTCAGACCTCCTCAGGTCGACTCCTCAGGGTCTTTCCATTGAGTGACCCAGCCTGGTTTTAGCTGGGTCCTTAGGACCAATTTAGCCGAAGTTGAGCTGCTTGGTGCAAGAGTGTCTCTTTCACGAGAATCAGACCCACCATGTGTATGATCTCACAAACACAGTATTTGTTTCGCTCTTTTGAATATTCATCTTATTGTGGTGGAAGAGGTTGTTTGCCTGAATGATCCTATAGGAGCTATTGCTCCTGGTTGGGTCTCTCATGGTACACAGACCAATTCAAAACATTTTTACTGACAGGAAAAATCAGGGAACTTACCCATAATTTACACTACATGCGTTCTGGCTCCGCTCCGGTCCGACCTCCGCAGCAAATACGCACCCATTATAATCAATGAGAGTGTGTACACTGGCTGCGCACGGTGGCGGTGAGCGGCGGTGAGCGGCGGTGAGCGGCGGTGAGCGCATGGCGATCCAGCGAACTGCGCACCGCAGCGCAGCGGAGTGGAGACACATATAGTGTAAATTCGAGGTTAGTGTCCCTTGCCTGGCTGTCCTTGACAGCAAGCACTTGTTGGCCAGGTCTCTACCCTTGGGGCCTGATTGGACTCAGCCCRAATGAACAACATGGGTTTACTTTCCTTTGGGCCATAAGAGTTGGGTTCATAACTTGGTCGATAGTCAAAGGAGGGGATTAGGATGCCTCCAGCAAGCCACCCTAGGGAAGTGCTTCAGGGAGGACAGCCAGAGGAGGAACCAGGACACACTGAAGAGACTTTGTCTGTGTCAAATTCAGGGGCTGTGTCCTTCGAAGGACCTGGCCTACCTGGTTTACGTGGACCAGAAGTAAGTGGATGTAAATTTGGCCGATCTAGCCTTATTCCCGCCCTAACCCCAGCGAATGTCTTGTCACCTATCAACCGTGGCCATGCTTAATAGAGGCAATGGAAATTGAAATTAGCAAAATATTAATCTATTTAATATTATCAATCAACAAATTCACCTTAGCAACAATTCTTTAAAAACTAAAGGATGGTTTACGATGATTTCTGACAAGAATGATATTAAAAACATGTCTATGCAAATGACAGAAGCCTAACAATGCAAACACTTTAAACCTTTAATTTTTGTATCACAGGATTTTTATTTAAAACTGTGCTCTGGTCTCTCGCTCTGTCCGTCTCTTTGTCCACCATTTCAAGATAAAATATCTTCCGGTCGGCCTGCAATGCATCTTGGCAAAGGGTGGGCTGTGAAGTATACTCAAGACCCGCTCCTTGAAACTGAGGAAAAGGGGGACGTATTTGTGGGTCGCAATTGGAGGAGCCTTCGAATTTGGACAACTCTTGGCACAGCGCCGTCACATAATCAGTCTTCAAATTCGTTCTTCGACGAACGCAGCCCCTGGATTCTATTTTGTCTCCTGTCTGGCCTGGAAACGTCTGGAATCCCCCCCTGAAGAGCTGGAAGAGATGATGACTGAAAGAGGTCTGGGCCTCGCTGCTTCCCCGCAAAAGCAATTTTGTGTAATATCACAAGATTTTGTTTGATCCATAAACACTTGAAGTGTGTGTCAATGATGACTCTCAGCTACTACCACACCAAAATTAAGCTCAGTGTCTGTAAAATCTGCTGAGTTATACTAATTTTTGTGTTGACCGATGACTTGTAGGGGCTACCTTGAATTGTATTGACTCCATAAGTTGATAAGCTAGATGTCCACCCATGATTACTCTCTCATAATTTCATTCATTTTGTCCTCTGGTTTATAGAATATTTTGCTAACAGACAGACATAATTGACACCAACAACTAATGACTTGCTTTAAATGAGTAGATGGATAAAGTTATTTTTATGGTTTGACYAAATCTTCTACCCCTTCAATATTTGTCAACATCCCAACCAAATACTCTCCATGTTTTAGAGTAAGAAGTCAGCGAGAGAAAGGCGTTCCTACTTTATTAAAAACAGTGTTATTCTAACCAACTCTATAAACAGTRAAGACTGTGAAACTCTGTTATAACWWTAAGTTTTACACAACATGTAATGTTTCTCCCAGTTTATCCCGAGGGGACTTACCCAGCTGCTTCATAAAAACCATGACGCAGCGTTTTTTTGTATTTGCTTCAACTCGTAACCCAGCAACATTTTTTTATATCAGTTTGAAGACGATAAGTAAAACATGCTGAAAGGCTTTTCTAGTCATCATTRTTTTGATCTGAGGCTGGAAGGGTGGATGGGAACAAGTCGGAGCAGCTTTTCTGCAGTTCCACACAGTGTGGCCCAACGTCTCACCTCCACCTACATGTAAAAGTTTCTGCAATCGGAGCCCACGCGTCTCTGCAATGAGCTCAGTGGTGARGTGGTTTTCTGTGTTGTAAATTCACCGGAGGAATGCAGAAGAAACTGGTGGATGATTGACAGAATTCCTGTCTGAAGGTTTGCAGATACGCAATCATCAACTTTGTATCAACACATTTACTTCTAGACTTTTTACAGGATATCCTTTGTTCTTTTTGGTTTAGTTTTTGTTTTGTATGTTCAACAGAAAAACTGATGGTGGAAGAGAGGTGGTAAAAAGGGGTTAAAATGCTCTTATGCATTCCTTCAACTTAAACCAGTAATGTAAAGTGATCTCTGATTACTGTTAAGTTGTCCTTAATATATTATTATTCTGTTCTACAAAAAGTGGTTTCTAACACTTGAAATCATGTAATTACGTAAAAAAAATTGCTTATTTTTATAAAATTTTTTAATGAAGTATGTTGCCATTTTGTTGCTAATTCCAAGCATTTTGGAGACGACGATGATGATAATAGGCTACAGTTGGGAGAAAAAGACAGAGTTGAGGCTAAAAAGCTATAATGTGTGACAATAGATTTATATTTTATACCAGTGTCTGTGATCAAATGTGATGTTTAGTAAATTAGCTCTGAAGCTAACATCATGTATGTACGTCTGTATTAGCTCAGGAGCTAACACCACATATTTTAGTGATGCATATACAGTATCTATCTATTAGGGGTGCAACAATACATGTACTGTACCTGTATCGAACCGTATCGAACAGTGCTGTATCGAACAATACAGATTTTAAAAAATTTACTTTATCAACTTGTCTTC